GGGTGGATGGGTGGGTGGGTGGATGTATGGATGGATGGATGGATGGTTGGTTGGTTGGAAAGATGCAGCAAAGGAGGGAGGAATGGATGGAACCTGCCTCCCTGTAACATCTAACTCTCTTCTCCAAAACTTATTTAAGACAAATGACCAAGACTTCCTGTTCCCTGAATTGTATGCACCTGGTATGTTCCAGGCTTCCATCCAGTGAGTGCAAACCTGTCATATTTACAGTATCCCAAATCTTGATTTAAGGACACATTCACCAACACAAAGTCCAGCTTTTTAAATAAGCATTCTCCGCTAAGAATTTTTGCAAATCATCAGGGGTGCTTACTGTTGTCAGCTGAATGTACTCAAGCCCCCACTAACATGTGAATCCTAGGCAAGGTCATTCTCTATCTCAAAGCCCTGATGAAACGGGGATTTTGAGAATGGAGAGTCAGAGCCAGAGCCTACAGACCCTCTCATGCTTTCTTCTGCACTGCTCTGGGCCAACCGCTCAACGACCAAAGTTCCAGCCTCTGCCAGACCACTGATCTCTACTGTTCTCCTTCCACTGCCCCCAGCCAAGGTTCTCACAGAGCCATTTGGGCCCCTAGTGACACACTTCTTTCCTTTCATTCCCAAAGGACAGGGCTTTCAGGAGTGTGAGGGAGCGATGTCGAGCGTGCATTGCATGAAGGGGGAGCAATGAGGAGGCACACCTCATGCTGTACCTATCCCCAGCGAGCGCTCTAATCCCCAGCCCTTGTCGTCCAGTCTGATCCGCTCAGCCAGATATCTTCTTCACTCAGGTGTCATTTTCTCTATGGAACCTGTTTTTTCTCACCTAGCAAAGATTGCTTTGAGGATCCCTGGTCCAGTAGATAGGACATGATGTGTCTGAACCATAAATGAAGACAAAGTCCATTTGGCTTCTTTCCCACAAGGCTCCTGAGCCTCATGCAAAGTAAGAAATACAGACGACATGTTTTCAGGGTTCCCGAACATTCTGTGAAGGACAGTAATTCCACAAGCACTGTGGGACACTTAGTAGGAGGCTTGACCAAAGACACAGAGAATCTAACTCAACATCGTACATCACAAAGTCTTATTTCTAAGCCAGTCAAAATAGCGTTGAGTGTTTGAATGAGCACTGTATTTAGAGAGGGAGGGTGAAACTGCTAAATCAAGACTCACCAATAGTTTAGTGACTTAAAAAAATACACTTTGGCCTCTTAATGAATAGCTCCACACTATACTTTCCAGGCAGGCATGCAGCTCTGCTCCAGGAGGTCACTCAGGAATCCAGGCTGATGGTGGCTCTGCTCTCCTCAGTGGATAACTTCTGAGGCGACTCTAGTCATCACCACTCCATCCAGTAGAAAAGGGGGAAACGTGTATAGGGACAGGCAGGCAATGTTCCACAAGTCAGCCCTGTCAGTGGCCACATCTTTCCCCTTACAACTCAATGGTGAGTACCTGGTCACATGGCCACACCTAGCTGCAAAGGAGACTGGGAAATGTGGTCCCTGGCACAGGAGCCATAGACCAGATATTATTCTCTTACTCTAAAACAAGGGACAGCAAATTATAGCCCAAGGATCCACTTCTCAAGCTCCTGGTTTTCTAAACAAAGTTTTACTGGAGCTCAGCCACATCCATTCGTTTTCATGTCCACAGTGACTTCACCTGCTACAAAGGTAGAACTGAACAGTCATGACAGAGACCTTAAAATCTGCAAAGCCTAATATATTTACTATTTGGCCCCTTATAGAAAACATTCACTATCCCCTTTTCTAGGGGAAAAAAGAAAACTGGAATGGATTTGGTGGTACAACTGGCAGTCTACACTTTCAAAATACAGAGTTCGGAAGAAGGCAGGCCTGCCTAAGTGTGGTTGGTAAGGTAATAATATGGGTGTAATAAATTATTGTTTTAATTTGAACATTGCACCTAAAATGTCATATAGTGTGCTTAAGTGTGATATTATGTTACAGAATTATATGCTTATGATTTTGTAACAAAACAGGTGCGTTATTTGTGGCAGACCCAGTATACCTTGGAAATTGTTATAAAGATACAAAGATAAAAATACTCCTTGCAGCATACCAAAAGACTAAAAACAACTTAAAAAGGACTGTTAAATGATGGACCATGCATACCACAGAATACACATACACTTTAAAAAGAGTAAGTCCTGGCCAGGTAGCTCAATTGGTTAGAGCATTGTCCTGAAATGCCGAGGTTGCGGGTTCGATCTCCGGTCAGAGCACACATAAGAATCAACCAAACAAGAATCAACCAATGAATGCATAAATAACCTGAACAACAAGTCTAATCAAATAAATAGAAAAGAAGGAAGGAAGGAAGGAAGGGTTCATCATGTACTGATTGGAAAATACCCAAATATATTAATTTTAAAAAGTAAAATGCAGAGCAGTAGATTTAGAATGTTACCATTGCGGGGCGGGGGAGAGGAGAACAGAATTTAATACATAATACAAATATGCTTACATAGGCATAAAAAATTCCTGGAAGGATATAAAAGAAACTGAAAACAGAAGTTTTTCTGGGTGGGGAAGACAGAAAATTGAAGGACAGAGTGGAGGGAAGTTTGCTTTTTGCCATATACCCTTTTACATATTTTGAATTTGTGCAATGTGCATGTACCATCTATTTTTTTAAGTAATTATTTAAAAATTAAACTGAGAAAGACCACCTACACAACAGAATTCGTCATTATTTCCACTGCTAAAAAACCCCTCTTCCGAAGGATAACCTCTCTTAAAAGTCATGGCAACATCTTCAATCAGGAACAGTCGGTCCTACTGACCTGCAAACCACTTTGTATTATTGTATTTGCATCCCTGCTTCACTGTATGTCAGTTTCTCAGATATTCCTTATTTCTCTTATTTTCATAGTCAGTTTATAAATTCTATTTTAGTCCCCTGCTTTTCTTGAAAGTTCCTCTTTCAAGACAGTATTTATTCAGTTCTCCCACATATGTTGAGTATAAAGAGAAGCATTATTTGACCTCAGAAAAAAATTAAGCACAGAAAGACAAAAGTAATAGTTCCTAAGCCTGATAAAATAAACAACTTTGAAGAAAAATCTTGTAAGGGAACCCTCCTTTCAGTTAAAACTAACAGTGATCCAATTCACACAAGCTGAAGAGGAAAAGCAATCTACTGGTGTAACTGGGAAGTTCAAAAGCCGGAGCTGGCTCGAAACACAGATGGTTCTGGGCACTGAGGCTCCTCTTTGGAGCTGCGGCCCCGCTCTCAGCGCTGCTGGGTGGCACTCTGCAGGCAGCCCCTCCTGCGGCAGCAGCCCCAAACCCCAGGCCCCTAGCTCACCAGTCCCATCGCAGAGAAGATGTTTCTCTCTGAACTCAACACAGCAAATCCAGGAACACTGTCATATTCTTAAACTTGTGCAGGCGGGGCCTGAGCCTGGCCCAACTCAGGCCATATGCCTTTAACTGGGCCACCAGGTCTACAGGTGCAAAGAAGAGCTCCCCAAAGGGCATTCGTTGTAGGAATGCTAAGTAGGAAAAACAACAAATGTCCTCTATTGCTTCTAAAAAGTCAAGACAATGGCCCCTGGATATTTGAACAGGCTTAAAACAATAAACCTTGCTCTCTACCCTGGTTAGAGCACAGGATTTTTCAATTTCAAGGCAAGGTGGCTGAGAAGTTCAAATTACCACACACACATTGTCTTATTTGTCTGCGCTAGACATAATTTTGAATACCAGATAGGAAGCCTACTTACACATTGGGGAAAAAAAAACCCTAAAAATGGAATTGTAAATCAGGTTACTACCCTTTGGTCCTTCTGAAACATTTTGCTCAGGACAAAGTATTTCCATGGTGCAGCCTGCCGAAATTTATCTTCGTTTTAGCCACTTATTTTTTAAATCACCATCTGGCCCTGGCTGGTGTGACTCAGCAGATTGAGTGCTGGCCTCTGAACCAAAAGGGCGCCAGTGTGATTCCCAGTCAGGGCACACGCCTGGGTTGCAGGCCAGGCTCCCAGTACAGGGGCAACCAATGAATGTTTCTCTCCCTTCCTTCCCCTCTCTCTAAAAACAAATAAATAAAACCTTAAAAAAAATCATTTAATAATAATAAATAAATAAATCACCATCTGAAGGTCCACAAGATATCTAAGTCTGAGGCCTATATTTAGCTCTTAAATTATGAAATAAGAGGTTGTGATATTTGTATTCTTACCAAAAATTTATTCGCTTCCTCCCAGAACCTTCCTGGTCAGCTGAACCAAATGGATATGTGCTGTATCCTTGGGTGGGTTGATTTCTTGAGTAAATGATTTCAGTTGGCCCTCCACAGCACAAGGCAGGAAATTTATGTCAAAGTTCCTTTTTTCTTTTTAAAGATTCCATTCATTTATTTATTTATTCATTCATTTATTTATTTATTTATAGAGGGAAAGGGAGTGAGAAAAACATCAGTGTGAGAGAGAAAAACATCAATTGGCTGTCTCTCATATGCACACTGACCAGGGACGGCACCCATAATCCAGGCATATGCCCTGACTAGGAATCGAACTGGCAAACTTTTGCTGTGCAGTATGATGTCCAGCCAACTGAGCCACGCCAATCAGGGCTAAAGTTTCTTAATAAGCAGAAAACTCACCTAACATCAAAAGCTTGGACATCCTTGTTATTAAAAAATTCCTCATTTTTTTACAGTAGAATAATGAAGACATGCACAAGAGCTACTCCTATATGCTGGTTTAACATGAAACATCTTTTATTTGGAATTATGTAAGTAAAGCCAAATTTCCAACACGTCTTTGAGAAGATTGATAAATGTATTTTAAAGCAATGGTACCCATCTACAACTGAGATATTCTTGGGTATCTCTCAAACTGCCAAAAATGACACAAAATCTTTAAAACAAAATTAATTTTAAATCAATTTTATTTTTTTTAAAAAAAAACAAGACATATACAAATAGGCTAAATAACACTCAAGCCTGAGAGGGCTAACAATCTTTTTCAAGAACTTAATAGTCCAAAAAGACTAATACTTATTGCTGATTCAGCTCACAGTATCAGCCCTCTTCAAGAAGCAATACAATCGCTAGTAAAATCGTATGGCCACCTCTTATGGGAATTAGAGATTCACTGTGCAACGAGCCACGACCCTGCCCTCCAGGAGCGTACAGTGTAGCTGGAGAAAAACAATACATCCAGAACAGATAACAAGTCCACACATCTATCACGACAAAACAATTATTGGCATAAGTCACCATCACATATTTTAACAAATGTTAGTCGCAGGACTATCTTGGCATATATACACTACATCAAGTTTCAACCTGACATATCAAAAAAAAAAAGTTTTATTTTTTGTTCACTCATGTTTCAAATGAACTGAACTAAAAGAGGAAAATACAATTCCAAACCAAATGTACCATAAAGTTTAGTGTTCATGTCCCAGAATTTCTCCATGGTTCTACATCCAGATGTCAAGTTCAGCAGTTCTGACTGCCAAAACGATGGACAAATTCAGACAGCGAGTAAACGGCTCCCCACCCTACCTCAGGATCCATACTGATAAAATCATTCAGGTTCATTTTGGAATCTAAAAAAATACATGAGAGAAATGTCCACTGAAAGCACAATTTTGGTTTAATAGCAATAAAGCAACCCAGAAGACCAAAATTAGGGAAAATTATTCAAACGGATAATGATTTAACATCACTTGTGTGGTATTGCTGCAAATGGGTAACCTCGATCAAATCACGACAAAACATCAGACAAACCCAAACTGAAGGATACTCTACAAAATAACTGACCGGTACTCTTCAAAGTTAAAAAGTTATAAAGGAAAAGGAAGAAAGAAAATTTTCAGTTTGAAGGAGACCAAGGATACATGACAACTAAACATAATACTATGAGTCAGAAAAAAAATAGTGGGAAAATTTGCAAAATTTAAATGAGGGTGGTAAATTTATAGCATTATGTCAATATTTTTGTATCAACTGTACCATTTTCTTGGTTCGAATAATTACACTCTAATTTACTATTTGGAATCTGAGTACAGTGCATTAGGAACTTTGTCCTATTTTAGCAAATTCTCTAGAAGTCTAAAATTATTTCAAACAAGTTAAATGAAAAAAATGCATAAATAACCAAACTGCCAATTTATAGAAAATTCAGAGGACACAAAAAAGATACAGTTAGGAAAATCCAAACTGTTTCTCCCTGACTCCGTTTCTTCAATGAATAAATTATAAGAAAAGAAAAAAGAGTTGGAAAAGGAATTCATATATTAAAAAAGACACTTCTCCCTGGCTGGTATGGCTCAGTAGATTGAGTGTCAGCCTACAAACTGAACATTCACTGGTTCAATCCCCAGTCAGGGCACAGGCCTGGGTTACAGGCCAGGTCCCCAGCTGGGGGCATGCAAGGAGCAACTGATCAAATCTCTTGCACATTGATGTTTCTCCTCTTTCTTTCTCCCTCCCTTCCCCTCTCTCTAAAAGTAATAATAAAATCTAAAATAAACAAATAAATAAAAAATAAAAAAGACGTTCCTTAACAGAAAAAGCTAGACAGTCAACAAAACTAAATTTAGTCATCAGAGAGCTGGGGTTGCAGGATGACCAAGTAACCAGACATAAAGGAAGGACAGGGACCTCCAAGGGGGGATGGGGCAGAAGCCCTTGCTTACCTGGGTTGGATGCCACACTCCATGTAAGTCAGTAAGTCAGTCAGCTAAAATTTTTAACAAATTGCTAATGGAAACCTTAACTACTGAAATATAATAGTATTTGTTTTCTAGGGCACTTAAATATAATTAAATAAAAATTATTATTATCTTCAGGTATTCATTACTTAAAAACAAAATGAAAACTGAAAAATTGTTTAAAAAAGATCAAGAAGATGAAAGGTATACATGGAGAAGATGCAGCCAAGGGCTCAGGGAGAGAAGAGGACAAATCTGGTATACTATACTTGGGAACATTTAAGGACTTGGGAAATGTCCTTAAAAACTCAGTCCTGAGCAGCTGCTGCTGGAACTTAGTCTTTAGGGCAAGGCCGTAAGACTAAATCTCAGCTTCCTTCTTATCAGGAAGAGTTCCTTTCTTTAAAATACATTAACTGCTGAATTGGAAACAGCAGTCCTGCAGACACGTGGCCACCGAAATTATTAAATGTATAGTTCTTCACAATGCACAATATATTAAATGTACTAAATTTTAAGTCACAGAAGTTAATCCCGTAACTAAATGCAAGGGACCAAGTAAAGTTGCTATTAAAGTATCTAAAACATAAATTAATTTAAGATTCGATATTTTCTTGAACCTTTTTTTAACTTCCTAAAAAATAAAACACTACTAATTAGCTAAAAGTAATTCCCATTTATCCTATCGGATGTATTCCTGTGATAAACACAAGGCTTGAAGTAATGAATTTACCACATGCGAGAACATTACAATGTAGTTAAATCACTACATGAGAAACAAGTACGTTCACCCCATACTGCAGAGCAGATTCCTTAGTTTCAATCTCAAGTTCAGGAGCCCTTTGATGAACTAATTACATATGCACCAAAAAGACACTGCCCTCCCCATTGAAAAACCCCTCCTCAAGCCTGGTGTGCTGACCCTGCCACTTCCCAGCCTTGCACCTTTGGCAAAGGGCTTCACCTTCATGTATTTCAGTTTACGGATCTAGCCAATGTGGAAATAAAGCTGGACTTACTGGGTTGTGGTGAAAATTAAATTAAACTAATATGTAAAGGGACTGGCACAAAGCCTGACACAAAATAGCACTTATTACAGGGTAGTGGCCATCAAACCCAAAGGAGTGACCCAAAGAGGATCAGGGCTGATGAGGTGGCACCTACTGAACGCCTACTGTGCACAAGGCTGAGTTGGCGCTCATGTCTAGAAGGAAAGCTGCGAAGGCGCCTGGTCCCACACCACGCCGCCTACAGCAGGTTGTCTGAGAATGAAAGGTAGACCTGTGAAAACCTCTCCTAACCTACGCGCTGTCCCAATTCTAATGCTGAGCCTAAGAAGCAGGCTGGTGGACAAAAAAGCAGTTCCAATGTAAATTTTTAAAATTGCAAGAGCTTTTCACAGAGAGCCTCAAAAGTCAGTTTGAATCCTTTTAGTTCACTCCCTTCAAATGTGCCAAATATATTCTTTCTCGCTTCCTCATTGACCTCCAAATATTTCTGTCCCATCTTTCTGGCTGCTGCACAGCTTACAGAGCACTTTCACAAAGACAGTATCAGCCATGTGGTGGGATGATCTCAACAATAAATGGCAATGTTGTAAATTACTTCAAACCATAAATAAGGTTTCATCTCATGTGAACGCCAAATAACAGTAATAGGGTGAAGAACCCTTCGTCTCTCAAGAAATTATTAATTGGACTGATGCCTAAAAGCACATAAATGAGATGAGTGGTACAGTAAAACCTGCTGGCTCTCATCTCCTCCTAATGCAGATTTTATTCCAGAGCCAGGGAAATGACATTTCATACATCACAGGATGCACTGGTGATTTTCTTCACCATATCATGAAATCCTACCACAGCAAGGTGCTACTTTTCGCACCGTTCCATGATACAAGCACGCAGGTCTCCTGGAGCCCAGTGTCCTGGCAGTAGGTACATCCAACACTCTAGCAAGTATCCTGGTCTAATCCTTAACACCCTTCCTCTCCCATGAGTTCTCATGCCTTCCAATCCTGCTCTCTGTGCCTTGATTTCTGAATCTAGTAAATACACAGAACTACACTTCCTCTTATCTTCTTACTGCTCGGGGGTTTTACCCAGAGAACAATGCGATTTTTGTCCTTGGTGAAGTGAAAGTACTGATCTGCACAGAGACCAAAAACCCGTGTACGGAAGCATCTTTGGCTCACCTCCAGTTTCAATGCAGGGATACGATGGAGGAGGCTCTCTCCAGTTCCCACTAGAATCTTTCATGTGAGATCGGTCAGAAGCAAAGTTCTTCAAATAAGAATCTGCGCGGATGACTCTAAATTTCCTGCAGATAAATTAGCATTCATTTATCTCAGGGAGGTATCAAAGCTGAAATTCTAACTCAAATTTTATAAAAGACTCTTTTTCTATAACATGCACAAAACTATGCAGGCATTTTTGTACTATTAGTAATACGGAAATATATGTGCAGCTTACCACCTGTTATAGAAGCCATGAGAAATGATCAGATGAAATCCGAAACTACAAAGGCCCTTCTGGTTGCCATTTTTTTACTCAATTGCGTCTCGGGGAAAAACACACTCTTTTCAGGTGCTGCCGTGACAGCCTTCTCAATTTTGGCATCAGAGGGCATTCCAGTCCCACGCCACACACGCACCCAAAAGCAAGAGGATGGGAGAAATCCCCAAAATAACTACGCAAATATTTGAGATCTTATCACACAAATTTTTAAAACACTGCCAACCCTTTTATACAATGGACAATCTTTAAAACTTCAAAATATTTTGCATCTTCTGTGAAGCACATCATTCTCAAATATCAACTCAACAGTAACGCCAAGACAAGTAATCTTCACGAAACAAATGCAAAAACAAACAAAACAACTGTCTATAATTGTCGAGTCTCACTCCAGAAAGTTGGAAAATTTGTCCTGACTTTCCTCACCTTCTAAACTGTGGATGGATGTCCTCATCAGACTTAAAGGCATCTTCCACATATGCGTCAAAAGGACAGGGAAATGGTAGTACAGTGTCAAGATCATAAATGAAGCTCTGTCCTCCACTTGAAACATGAAGCAACACAACATGGTAATCCTAGAAGTAAACATGAGTGAAGTTAACCAAGTTCCTTTATGATGCTGAATTCCAAGGCTATGTGATATGAAATATATATTTGGGGGGGGGACAAAAACCCCAGAATTCACTTATAAAAAATTGTGTACATATGCTTACATGTTTAAACTTCAGTCACCTTCAAAGTACTCTCCATTTGATGCAATATACCTATAGAGACTTATTTTTCCACCGCTCCAAACAGTTTTTGAACTCGTCAATTTGGATGTCTTTTAGTGCTTCTGCCGTTTTTTCTTTCACCTCTTCCACATCCGCAAACCATTTCCCTTTGAGAACTTTTTTCTTCCAAGAAAACAAAAAAAAAAAAGCCCCTTGGGGCAAGAGCAGGTGAATATGGAGGGTGGGACACAGGGGTCGTGCTGTTTTTAATCAAAAACTGCTGAACACGCAGCATGGTGTGAGCAGGTGCGCTTGTAAATCACCCAGCATGAAATGGGCAAACACGCTGAAAGTCTTCAAAAAATATTCACAGAAGTCAAACGCAGCCTCTCACAACAATGCCGGCCGGTGCACTGATACAGATGGGTTCCTAGAACACTCACCCTGCAGGGGAAGCCTATACTACAAAGGGCCTGCTCTCCAGAAGATAATTCCATTTTGGGGGGTGGCAGGGGTTCCCCCTTGTATATAGCATCAAAAACAGATACAAGATGAATACAGCCCCCTTTATAATAGCAAAATAAAGTCTTAAAAGTGACTAAATGTCCAATAGAAATGTTCATATACATCAAACCCTTTGACCATGCAATTTTACTTTACGGAATCTACACTACAGAAAACCGGCCATACACATGTAACAGTAGGTATATATAAAGAAAATCTCTGTAGCACTATTTATAATAGTGGAAATTTGGAAACAACCAAAAGTCCATCAAGAGGGCTATGATTAATAAACCATGATACAGTCATATCATAGAATACTATGCAGCTGTTAAAAAGATTTTGGTACATTTATGTGGACAATAAAGCATGTCCATGTTATATAGCTAGATGGAAGAAGCAAACTGCAGAATATGTATAATACATTATTTTTTTAAACTACATGAATATAAAGACACAATGCACATTCAGAAATAAATATACATACATATGAATACAGAGGAAAGTCTGCAAATATATCCTCCAAACTATTAACAAAGGGGATTATTTGAGGTTAGCCTGGGGAGGGTAAGAAAGGCTTTAATTTCTTGTTTTATACCATATATGTAATATAAAGAAAGAAAAATGTTGATTTTAGTTTGGGTTGGTTTTTTTTTTAGTCAGCTAAACCTCATCTGTAACCGTTAAGAAATAAAGAGAGCCTCATGTGCACAACAGAGCCACAGAGCGTATGTGAATCGCACTCTCGCTCCCGGACCCTGGGCACTGCTGAAGGGGACGTCAGGGCCGTTATCGAGAATGTGGTGCAGTCCAGTGCTTTGAGTTCCTCAGAACAAAAATGCTATCACAGAGAACAGCACTGCGAGATGAAAAGTTCAATCGCATCAGTATAACATTCATAATACCATCTTGTGTTTCTAGTACTCCAGAGATTATAAAGCACTTTCTCAAGTGTTACTTCATTTGACTCTGGGAGGTGGGAAAGATAATTCATTGAGACTAGAGATGTTTTACCATCAGAGCCTAAAGTGCTTCGTCCGGCTCCAATTCTATCTTAGTAAGGCAGAAATAGCATCAGAAATGGATGCCTATTCCCTGTACTCCCCTTAATGCACCAGACCCTCCAGATACAAACGAAGAGCGGCTCCCCCTACCACAGCCCCATTTCCTTCCCCTGGGCTCGTTCACGTTATCCCCCTGCCTCTGCGGCAATCTTCTCCGCCTCTCTCCCCATAGCCATCACTCAAGCTCTGATCAAATGCATCCTTCCCCTTAAGTCCGTTTCCAAAATCTGTTTCTCGCCTGACATCTTCTAACTCGCATTAGTTTTTTTGCTGTACACACTCCCTACTGTTTGTGGGAAACTGTGCTGTTGAAATATAGATACAAAGATAGGAAAGCCAGCTCCTCACTCTCAAGGAGTTGACAGAGAAGTGAGCGGGAAACACAAGTCAATTGTTGCAGGAGAGTATGAGGGTGAGACAGAACAAAGAGGCAGGACGGCACGCAGGTAAGGGCATTCTGAAGTCGGGGCGCCTACTCAAACCTCAGCCCTTCCACTTATCAGCCTCAGTTTCCTCTTTTATAAAATGGATGTAACTGTAGCTTTTACCTTGGAGTGTACTGGGAGAATTAATAAGATTATGCAGGTAGGTGTCTTTTTAAAAGCTAACAAAAAACAGAGGGATGGGGGATCAACAGCCAAGGAGTTTCACAGAGGAAGGACTAGGACCACAAAATTTGGCCTGAAGGGGAGAAAATTCCAGAAAGGAGATACAACTTGTGGAAAGGCATAAACAACAAATATCCACAGCCCCCAAGTTAGGTCAGGTCCACATTCCCACACACCAGATGGCTGATGAACTTGAGAGAAAGTAGGCCTCAACTTGGAATCGCCTTCACAGCAGAGATGTACAGCCAAGGGATGCAGACTGAAGCAGCTGCCTCACTCCCTGAGTTGGGTTCAGTGTTTGCCTAGATGTCAAGGAGGACCCAGCGGGGCTAGGACTGGTCTGCCCTTGGGATCTGGTGTCTCTGCCCACTCAGGGAGGCCTACCCACTTCCCACAAGAGGACAGCAATGAGGCAAAGACAAATGTGCCAGAGGGTGTGGGAAGCCTTCCTGCAACAGGGTTCCCCACCCTGAGCTGCCATGAATTTTGTGTGAGAGGGACATGACCACAGGTCCTCACCCTGTGAGTTTCCCTAAGACGGGAAGCAAGACCACGACTCAGAATCAGCTGAGCCCTGGCCGGATAGCTCAGTTGGTTAGAGCACCGTCCCAATGTGCTGCTAAGGTTACGGGCTCCATCCCTAGTCAGGGTACATACAAAAATCAACCTCTCTCTCTAAAAGCAATGAATAAATAAATCAACCTTAAAAAAATCAGCTGAGCCCAGGCTAGTGCAGCTCAGTGGATTGTGCACCAACCTGCAAACCAAAGGGTCGCTGGTTCGATTCCCAGTCAGGACACGTGCCTGGGTTGCAGGCCAGGTCCCCAATTGGGGGCACGCAAGAGGCAACCACACATTGATGTTTCTCTCCCTCTTTCTCACTCCCTTCTCCTCTCTAAAAATAAATTTTAAAAATATTTTTTAAAAATCAGCTGAGTGGTTCAGCAATGAGGATGACTTCTAGGGCAGATGGACAGTCTGCAACAGGGGTTAGTTATGTACTGTTGCTAACAATAATAGCTAATGCTTCCTGAGCACCAGTACACACGGCCCAACGGCGGGAGACTGGGGCTCAACCCAGCGTGCCTGACTCTAAGCACGCACTCCTAACCCAACACTGTTGGGTCTGGGCTTTAATGTCAGAGTAGCACATAGCCTGCTGGTGAAAGAAGCAAGAACACAAGCTCTGTTAAGCCAAGGATTTTAGTCTACTTTGTGCCTGGGATATAATAGGTACCGAATACATGTATGTTAAATAAACCAAAGAAACCAGTTCAAATGATATCTTATTTTAAACTAAGTATCAGAAACTAGATATTTGTTACATTATCATGAATGGAGTTTTTCCTTTACTTTTTTTCATGTTTACTAGTACAGACAGTCCTGTTCTATAGGAGGCCAGGTGAGGGTGACATATGGAGGTATAGTGGAGAGGACCAGGCCTGAGACCTAGTCTGCCACTGATCAGCTAGATGACCTTGAGCTACTCGCTTTGCCTTTCTGGGCTTGCTTCTTCACCTGCAAAATGAAGGGGTTGCAGTAGACCTGTGTCTTTCCAATGCCAGCCATGTTTACTCAGGAGTTTGCTAAAAACACTAATTCCTGAACTCTTATCTAGCTCAACTAAATCAGAAGCCTTTAATTTTAACACAGTCTCCAGATAATTCTCATGTGCAGCTGGACTAGATATTACTGAAGTTCTTTCCAGCACTAAAAGGATTAAGAGTTGGGGAGATCACAAATATATTGCCACATAGACAATCTAAAGTCATTCCTGTAATAATTCCAAAACTATAATAAACATGCCTGTAAGTGCTTCTGTCTTAAGCCAAATAACATCTATTCTCAAGATCCAATTTAGAATTATTACAGCCTTCCTCTACTGCCCTGTCATTTCTGCTCTACCAAAACATAAAGGCCACGCAGGGGTCACAGTGCTAACAATGTGTCAGAAGCTCTCCGGGCTGATCATCTTACCCAGATCACAGGTCCATCTCCAGGTCTTGCCTGCTGTTTCCAGATAGGTATCTACAAAAACAATAAATTTCATAAGCCACAACTTCAGTTAAACCACTACTAAATTCTTTAAAGCAACATGTACATGAAAAATAAAATATTTCTAAGAAACCAAAAATCAAGGTGAAAGAATGGGTAAGAAATCCAAATACTTCTAAATGTCCTTCAAAATGAAAAAGCAATAATTAATTATATAATGGTCTTTGGAAAATAGAAGGAGACCTGAACTGGGAATCAGAAGGCCTGGCAGGTTCCAGTCTTGCTTTCCCACTTAATTATTCATGAAACTTCCCTGAGTCTCTATTTCGTCATCTATAAAACAGAGACAGCTGTCTGAAACTTGCGTGTTTCACAGGGTTCCCATTAGGAGCAAATAAGGTGATCCCTGCAAATGTGCTTTACAAAATATGAAGGGTTCCTTTTTTTTAATACTTCATATGAGTTTACTATAGTTCTATTCTATTTAAACTCCTAAAGAAAAGGGATTTAATCTGTGCGAACATACCATCCCATAGTTCCCTACCCACATGTGAGGGGACTAAGCTCTCCTAACCTAATCATACCTTGGAAGGGGAAAAAAAAAACAAAACTCACCCATGAAAAAACTTTAAAATGTTGCTGTATTTTATAAAGCACACTTGAAAACAGTACTAAACCCACGGTACATTTAGCTTCCAATACCCTAAATTTCTTGTTTTCTTTGTGCAATCACTCACCAACTTACCATCTTCCTCTCATTAGATATGAAGACAGCATAACATTCTTCTAAAGGATACTGGTCGTGGTTTTTGATGTATTCACAGAGCTTCCAAATATTTTCTTCACTAAAACAATTACATTGTTTAATCAATATAATTAAGCAAAAACGCTCTTTCAAATCTAAACAAAAGATTAATGATGACATAAAATAGTTGGAAGAGACCTAAACCACAGTCTCATCTAACAACTGGCTAACACTGGACCCTCCTCTAAAACATCGCTGACAAGCTGTAATCCAACCTATACTGTGTGTGGAACCCCCTGCAGACACAGAGCTCATTACCTCCCCCAACAATGCTCGTGTATGGAGGCATTTTATAACTGATAAAAATGCTACATCAATATTCTGTAAGCTTTGGGCGCAGGGACTTGAGATATAGCTGGAATCCAACTCAGCACTTCAGCGTACAAAGCTTTAAACACCCTGACCTCTCTGAGTCTGTTTTTCTCATCTGTAAAAAGGACATAATCACATTATATTATAAACACTCAATACATCTTAGTAACACTGGTTTCCTGCTCCACTAAATGGCACAAGGAGGGTGTTTGGGGTAGCAGGGCTCCTGAGTAGAAAGGATCAGGGCAGTTTTGTGATATGTCCAGCAATACTTTCGGAGGAAACCCTGCGAATGTGATTCCCCAAGCCCCTCTGGTACAGAGGAAGTCCTGACTTTCAGAATGTTCCTTCTCATAATGAATTGAAATCCATCTTCCTGTACCTGCACCCCAGATAAATCCCCCTTCTATATGATAGGCCTTTAGCTCTTTGAAGCAGTGGTCAGAACTGCCTAAGCAAAGCAGTGTCCAATGCATCAAACCAAGCCACACTAGTAGCCACTTCCACACTCACACACAAACAAGCACAGTCACTGCTGGGAGCACTCACAGCTCAGCTGCAGAGTTCCTTTTTCTAGTAAGCCAAAACCATGTACCTTTGCTCAAAATGAGCTACACCAACACTCTGCTTGCTCACACACGTGACTCAACCTGCCAAAGCCTAATTTCCCGCCACCTACACCATGCTACCCAAAAGTGAAGCAAGGCACAAACAGCATTGAGGACTGTCACCATTTTACTGAAATAAACACTTTCAATCCACAAGCCTTGCCCTTGTCTACCTGTCTCAATATTCCATATAAGTAAGCTTAAAGCACTGAAGCTGAGCTTCAATATTTTTCTCCTATGATCTTGTTTCTCTCTAAAATGCCTAAGAAATCTTATGGAAAAAGCAGTGGTAGAGGTAACAACAGGAGACTGCTAAGTACTTCCCCACAGGATATGTAGTATGGAGCAAAAAGATGTACTATTTCTGCTCACGTCCCCCCAAAACATCTAAGGGATCTGCTGGGTCTCACCACTAAAGCATGTTTTCTGTTGCCCTGCGGCTCAGTTAGTTGGAGCATCATCCTGTACACCAAAAGGCTGCGGGTTCAGTTCCCAGTCAGGCACACACCTAGGCTGCAGGTTCGATGCCTGGTCCAGACACATATAGGAGGCAGCCAATCAATGTTTCTCTCTCCCTCTCTCTTCCTTTCTCTCTCTCTCAAAAAAAAATCAATGATCCTCAGGTGAGTACTGGAAAAAAAGTGTACTTTCTGTCTTCAAATTTACTATCTAAGTCCCTAGTCTAGTCTCTTGACACTTCACTATTATTAAAAAGCAATGACTTCATGCAGTGTCAGCAGTAAGTCTTTAGAATGCAATTTAATTGTGAATGTTAGAATCTAAAAACAAACCATTTATAAGCGCGCATGTGAGCACGTGCGTGTGCACACACACATACTATATCCCTTTCAAAAAAATACTGTTTCAATAGGATGTATAACATGCAGGATCTAACATTTTTCAAATCTGGATGTTCTAGACCAAGTTTTGAGAAGGCATTTGTCTGTCTTGCCTATAGACATTTTGGAGAGTTGACCACAAAAATTTTCAAGAGCCTGTGATGTACAAAACACTATCTAAATGCTAAGATGTAAGTTAGAGCTTACAGACAGTGAGAGTAGACAAACAGATCCTTAAACAAGCAAGCATCCAAGGCCATAAAAGATGCATTAAGAGGCAGAGAAGGAGGACTCATGCCCTGGCCCAGGGGCGGGGGGGGGGGGGGCACAGTTGGTTAAAGCATCCTTGTGATAAGCTACGATTGTGATCTCTGCTCCCTGATCAGAGCACATGTAAAAAGCAACCAATGAATGTGCAAATAAGTAGAATAAGAAATTGTTTCTCTCTCTCAAATCAATCAATCAATCAATTTTTAAAGAAACACTAATTTTAAGGGAGAAGAGAAGATGGAGGAGGTACAGGCCAGTTGTTTTTCCTTGTTTGTTCCCCTTTACCTCATCCCAAAGATAGGCACAAAATTAATGCAAAAAGTTCAGACTCCATATGTAACATAAGCATTATTGGTGGGCTGAATACACATGTGGTTTGAACCTATTTGGCCTATTTTTTCAGATATATGTGAATATCACATAGGAAAAACAAACTTAAACATGAGAGATACTGAATTTGTAGTCCCTTTCTACTGTCCTCCCCCCTCCCAAAAGTACAACTAATATCATGTAGGAAGACCTCATGAAACTTTCTGATGTTAATAAAACAGAGGGCCTATATACTTGGAAACACTGAGAGTCAGCTGGAATAGAAAGAACCCCAGATTTGATGTGAGTCCTGAGACCCATTTATGGGTTTTTAAAAAGTAGGAAATGATAATATTGTCTCAGCCTGAGAGTTGATTATTTTGGCAGCAGAAAAGCTAACAAAGCAGGATTAGGGCCAAGATTCTACAAGGGTTACTAGTAATGAGCTAAAGTCAGAGACACATGCAGAAAGGAAAAAATGCTCTATAAACCACACAATGCCACACAAAGACTGGCCACCACTGTTATCATTAAGCTGGGTCTTGAAAGATAAGTAACACCTGACAGAGGCTAATAGGAGCAGAAATAACATTTATTTCAAGTTAGAAGAACCCAGAGGAGCAAAGGCAGCAAGATGTACCTACCTGATGTGTTCAGACAGGGTAAAGCACTGGGTCTCAATCAGAGGCAATTTGGCCCCCCAGGGGACATTTGCTAATGTCTGAAGACATTTTTGGTGGTCACAAATTGGGAGAGGGTGCTATGGGACTCTAGTGAGTACAGGCCAGGAATGGTGCTACACATACTACAATACATAAGGCAGCTGCCACAACAAAGGATTAACATGCTCAAAATACCAACAGAGCCAAGGTTGAGAAACCCTACAGAACAGAGAAGGCAGGCTCAAAATCAGGTTGGAGGAACAGAGGGTGACCAGATCTTAGAGGGCCTGTTATGCTCAGGGATAGACTTTACTGCCTAGGCCTGTCTGTAGTCCTCAAAATGTGATCGACGGATTCAGCCTCCTCCACTATGCTGCTCACCCATCCAGACTCCGGGATGGGACCCTAACAGCTGCCTGTTTTACAAAAGCTCCCAAGTGGTCCTCAAGCACATTCAAATTCGGAAAGGCCCTGAGCCCTGCGAAGCCAGCTAAAGTTAAAGACCTTAAAGACCTGAGGGGCTGGGGAAGAACTGGGCAGAGGGGCCTGTTAGGAAGAACTGGAACTGGCCCCCAGCAGCTAGCCAAGGAGGGTCTGGCCTACCGCTGAAGGGACTAAAAGATGATCTATTGAAGAGACACTCATTCATCTCCTACCATTCTTCCACCTAATCACGTCACTACACTGTGCCAGCCTCCTTGGTATTCCTAGAATATTCACAGCATACCTCCTTCTCAGAGCCTCTGTCCCTGCTGTTCCACACCCTGCCTGGAAAGATGTCCCACCAATATTCACAAAGCTCTCGCCCTCTTTCTTTACAGATATCTGTTCAAATATCATTTTACCCACAATGTCTTCTTTCAATATCCTAATATAAAATAGTAAGTCTCCATCCCTGACCTGGTTTTAATTGCCTAACAGCACTTAACACTATCCAAACATGGTTTACTTATTTTTGTCTGCTTTCCCCCGACCAACCATGAGATCTTACTAGAGATGTTGTCTATTTTGTTCACAACTATATCCCTATGGCCTAGAATCCTGCATTACACACTCCAAGTGCCTGATAAACATTTACGGGATGAATGAATGAATAAAACAATTGAATGGGCATTAAGGACGAAAATAGGATTTAGGTGAGGGGCAGGGAAAAAACAAAGTGCAGTGGTTAAGCCTGGACGCCAGCATTACAGAGGTGCCCATTTCAGGACTACCTACCACTTGCTAGAGGCGTCATCCTGAGCAAACACCAGGCTTCTCTGTGGCTCATCTCTGCGTTTTAAAAACTAGGAAAATGGTAGTAAATAGAACATGTGTCCTAGGCATGGATGACAGAACTTGGCACTGGGCCTGTCGTGCAGTCAGAGCTGAACAAATTGCTAAGCTCTTGGTGACACTGGTTCGGTAACCAGCTGAAGGAGGGAAAGGCACTTTTGGATGGCCCTGAGGTTTCACAATTGTGCAGGGACTGAAGTACGGAAACATCACTACACAGGCAAGGAAGGTTAAGCGTGGCAGTAAAAAGGACCAAGGCAGGAGTGGTGATTTAGCAACAGAGGTGGCCTAGGACAGGGGCGCAACGTGTGGAGTCCAGAGCCAAACCCTACGTGTAAATCCCCATGCCTTCACTCACAAGCTATGTGCCCTTAGACAAGGCACTTAAGTGTTCTCATCTTTAAAATGGAGATAACAAGGGTATCTACCTCCTAAGGTAACTGTGGGGCATCAATGAATTCGGTCACATAAACCACTCAGCACAATGCTTGGCATATTGCAAATGCTATGTAAGCATAGCCATTATTATATGACAACATGGTGGTTAAGATCATGGATTTGGTACAAGAAGGTCTGAATTGGATTCCTGGCTGCTATTAACTAGACGATCCTGGAAAAGTTAATGTGAAATCTCTATGCCTCCATTATCTTACCAAATTAAAACGACCTTCACATCAGTGTGAAATCACACAGGTTTTGGCAGAGTAATTTTCAAAAGGCTCTCTGCGTTCCACCCTACCCTTCCAACTCCCCTTCCCGGGGCTGAAGCACTGAGATCCGCAGAGAAATGTCCAAACGAAAAGCGCGTAACCCAAGTGATGCGCCGCCGACCCTACCGCTCCCGGCAAAATCCGCCCTACCCCACCCCCATTCAATGACCACGCTCTACTCTAGAGACTAAGGTTGCCTATTCCCGCTCCCTCCTCCCGCCAAACCGGAAAACCCGCCAGTCGGTGCCCAGAGCACCCCGGGAAGGGGCCGGGAAGAGGCGGGGCCCGGCTACGACGCCGGTGCGCCCGCGCCCCCTCACCAGTAGCAGCTGTTGTAGACACAGGCGTCCCGCGGGGGGCTAGCCGGCTGGTAGTGAGCGGCTGCGGATGCGGCAGCGGAGGCATCCCCCTCCATGGTGGCTTGGACCACGGTACGGGCCTGAGGTGGACTGACTGGACGAGCCAGCGGGCGGGATTCGAGAAAGAGCCGGATTACAGCAGCAGTGCGCTCGGATTTTCGGGATAAAGTGGGCGGAGCCCGAAGCCACGGGTGCAGTTCCCTACCGGTGGATCCTGGGATGGGTAGGTGGAGCCTGGGCGGGGCGGGAAGCGCAGTTTCCCCGCGCTTGGCTCGGGTGGGAGGTACACGTTCCGGTGGGTGGAGCTAGAGGTTGAGGGGCGGGCCCAGGACGGCCCTCAGCAAGGGAGGTGGGAGTGCAGGCTCCGGTGAGCGGAGCGGACGCTGGCGCTGGTTCCGGGAGGGTGGAGCTAGGGCAGAAGAGAGAGCATCCGGGGTGGAGTGAGCGGCGTGAGTTCCCCGCGAGGAAGACTGCGGGATTCCGGATAGGTAGAGCCCGGCCGGTGGGAGGAGCCAGGAGCGGGACTGGCAGCGCGGGTTCCGGGTGGAGCGGGGCCGGTCGTACTGGTGGCGGTGGTGACGGCGGAGAACAGGTTAACTGGGGAGCGGAGAGGTCACTGGCCAGCAACCTGGAGAGGAGTCAGGGGAGGTCTTGGAGTTGGTAAGCCGCCAGACCGTGAACCGTGCTTCCTGATTCCATGAGGAGCCTGAGGCCCTTCTTCCATCCTGGGGCCGACTTGCCAGCCGTGGAGGAACCCGATGAGAGGCGGAAGTCTCGATGAGTGCGAGAGATATAAGACAAACGTGTGTGTGAAAAACGAAGCTTGAGCCCCTTGAGCCTAGAGACCGCGGGACCCTGGGGAAAAAAGAGGATGGGGATTAATTCCAAATACGTCGGCCTCAAGGACGGTTTTAGACAGGGATATCACCGTGTTGTATCTTTTTAAAAAAAAATAAATAAAGAATTGTATATATTGGCTCAGAAAGATACATGGATTTTTTTTTAAGTGTTAATAGGCCTCATGGTACCCGTTTTGTGTTAATCATGTATTCATTATTTGCTGGCAGTTTGGAAGGAAAGACTCCAAATTGTTAAAACAAGGTTTATCTTTGGTGAGTGAATGATATGGAGGATTTTCACATTACATTTATAGCCCTCTGAATTGTCTGTATTTGCAGTTAACATATAGAGCTGATCAGGGTACTTCACATTATGAAAACTGAAATTCTTGGTTTATAGGCCATCTACAGTGAGATTTTCCCAACCTCATAAGTTCTAAAGACCATAAATCCTAAAGACTTTGAGCATAAGTTCTTGCACCGATTATCAATTTATGCCTCTCAGCTCTGAATACACAGTTCAATATAGGCTCTATGATAAATTTGAATATGAATTCCTTTAAGTATTTCTCATTTAAAGTGAGCATGATGCCTTCTCATGAAAACCTGTTGCAGGAAGAAGATTCCTGCAGTTTTGAAACAGTACGAAAGTTTGGAGTGTGGTCTAGTGTAATAACTATCGTGCCAGGTGGGTACTGGATATAATCACAGGGAACATTTTGTATATGATTGTCTAACCACTATGCTGTACACCTGAAACTAATACAAAATAATATTGAATGTAAACTATAGTTGAAAAATAAAATTAAAGTTTAAAAAAAAATAAAATTCATTTTTCCAGAAAAAAAATCAGTTGGAAAAAAAGGGTTTTGAGTGTGGTCATGAAAACATCCAGCCAGAGGCCCAAACGTGGTCCTTCTGTGACCTTGCAGCTTTAGCTTGGCAATGACCTTTCTGCAGCTCTCTTGCCACAGAAACCAGAGTCCAGGGAGGCCGCAGGCAGTAGCCTGCCCGTACCCCTTCAGCAAGCCCTTCATGACCTACACACACCTGTGGCTGGCAGGATCGCACACTGAGCAGTCTGTCCTTTCTCTAACTTCCCCTTTCCTGAGTCCCTCCACTCCCCCTAAGACATTTTGAAGGCCTTCTGCCCCTGCTGGCTCTCAGACCCCCAAGGTGTCCCCATACCACTGGTTGGTGATCACTCCCTTTTACCCACTTCTCTACCTTGCTTAAGAGAAGTTGAATGCCAAGAATTCACTGTTAAAAGTGTAACTTTAAGATGTAGGGAAACTACATGGTACTCAGGGCTCAGAAGAGTACTCGGGAAGGAAAAATTTGTAAGGGGTTTGGACCTCATTAGCGACAGTGTGGCTTGGTCACCAGAAAGCAGAGAAGTTTGCTAGTTCACCCACTGGAGGTGATCTGGAGCGGCTGGGCCAAAAAAAAAAAAATGGAGAAATGATGGAGAGGAAGGCCAGCAGTCTGCCATAATGTGCTTTCACCTCTATCTTATAAGAAGGAATTACTTTTAAAATTAAAAAAAAATCATAATTTTAAAATTCATATTTCGTAGTAGAGATTATAAAGAGAGATAAAGTCCCAGAGTAACAGGTGTTTAAAAACAGATTCTGCCCTACTAACTCCAGTGATCTAGATGAGGAAGAAATCACAGATGCGCTCAAAACAGCCAATACCCAAAGAAATCAGAATGTTAAAGGGCAGGGATTTGGAGAAGGGACAAATAAAAGGAAGTATAACAATGGGCTACATCCCCAGCCAGGTAACTCAGTTCATTAGAGGGTGGTCCTGATATACCAAGGTTGCAGGTTTGATCCCTGGTCAGGGCACATACAAGAAACAACCGATGAAGGCATGAATAAAAGGAACAACAAATAAGTGTTTCTTCCTATCTCTAAAAATAATTTTTAAAGAACTTTATATACTTTTAAAAGAGAGGAGCACCGATGTGAAAGGGGAGATTCAGGAAGTCTACAGCATGTAATACCGAGGATTAAATACAAAAGGAGGGGGGTTTTTTTATTATTGGAAGAGGGTATTTATAATGCTCAGTATTAAAAGCTAGAAGAAAAATCCCCTTGCTTGGGATCAAATAGTTGTCTATTTTGAGAAAAAAACAAATAGCCAACAACTGTTTTGCTCCATCAAAGATGATCCTCAATCTGTAAAGGACAAGAAAAATAGCAGTAAGAGGAGATTAAAGTCAAGGTAAATTCAGTGGTAGAAAGCCCCAAGTTGCCTTAAATGGGTTAAAAAAAATCTTCAGACCCAGATGAGTTATATCCCAGGACACCAAAAGCACTTTAGAGTATGACTCCAAAGCCTCTCTTATGGATCTTAGGAAATATTTAGGAGGAAATGACATAAGACTAACTATAAATACTTGCTGTTTTGAGTTTCACAAAAGAAAAAAATGTGTTCCAGACTCTATACCTGGTGAACTCAATGCCTATTCCCAGGATGGTCTGTGACCATGAAGAAAGGTAATTATTCAGGGGCCTTTAGTGGTTTCACAAAGCCCATTTCATTCTAAATGGGCCTTATTTCAAGTTGTTGGAAGAATTCATTGATTATTGGATTATAGCACAAACAGAATATATAATTTGATTTCAACAAAGCAGCTGACCCAGTTTTCTTAGCCATAACTCATCTACTCATTTAGTTAAAAGTCAAGGCAGAAAGACTGTTTATTAGCTGGTTTAGCAGGAAAGACGCTGAAGTGGCTCTCACAAAGGGTGAGCTGCGGAAACCAGGGTCTCAAGGGACCAGAAGCAGAACTCACCTCTCAGGCCTCCTTTCTTTCCTTGTCAGTCTGCTCCTTGGTGCTTGGCTTCCTTCTCAGGTGACTTCACTTCTTGCTGTGATGGCTGCTGGGAGCCCCATATTCATATTTTCCAGGCTTGGCAACCCCAATGGAAAGAGAAAACTTCTTTTTCCTCAGAGCAATCACACAGAGTAACTTGTCCTTTTGTTTTTTACGTTTGTGTACTGCTTGAATTTTTCTCATGTATTAGTTTTTAATAAATTTTTTATTAAATCAAATATATCAATATTAATATAAAGAACTGCATGGACAGACTGTTGCTCACTTAACTGTTGCCCAGCTGTTGCACATTAGTTTTCAGATCCTACTATTATAAATAAAGCTGCAATCAACATTTTCATACATAAATCTTGGTCCATGACTCTGATTATCATATGAGGATGGAGTCCTAGAGATGGAATTCCTGGGCCAAAAGTTTTAAATATTTTCCAGGTTTCTTGATACATGTTGCTATATTGCATCTTTTTAAAAATGAGCCTATACCCCAATATTGCATTAAGTATTATTATTAAAAAACAAAAATATAGACGACAAACTGACATTCCCATTGTTATTTTAATTTGCATTTAACCGATTACTACTTTCCTGTATTAAAAGGGATAGTTTCATTATAAAGCAGAAAGTGCTAAGGCAGAAATGAGCTCTGGGAGTTCTGAGGAAAGTAGCCTCACCACTGGGGTAGGTATTGGGCTGGGCTGGAGCACCGTACTAGTAGTATTACTCACCTTGGAATGCGGTGGGAAGGAGACAAGAGCCCAGGGCCCTCCGCATGGGCCAGTGCATGCCTGTGTTATTAGGGGAGGCTGACTAATGATTTTCCCTCTTTTGTGGAAAATCATGGAAATTAGCTATAAACTTCAAGTATGGCCACATTTACAACATTTCTGAAAGAAATCCCTGTGCAAACTAATGTTTACTTTCTAACTTTGTTACCAAAAAAAACCAGAAAGGGACCAACCAACCCATGACCTCATCTCAAATGAGGTAATGGAATTATGATTAACTCTTACTTCAGCCCTCCTTGTCACACTTGAGGTAAGAACACTTGATTCTCTTTAAACAGTCGAGGGGCTTGAAAAAGAACCTCAGTTTCTACCCCCCCTTCTTTTCCTAAATCAGATCACTCCTATCTGCAATAACTAAAGAGTGGAAAATGAAAGAAGTATTACCTGCCAAAGACCAATTCCAGACCAACTCTTTAAGTTTCCTAAGGCTGCTGTAACAAATTACCCCAAACCAGGTGAAGAAAAAAAAAAGCACACAGAAATGAATTCTCTCTCAATTCAGGAGGTCAAAAGCCCGTAATCAAGATGTCAGCAGGGCTGGTTCCTTCCGGAGGCTCAGAGGGAGAACCTGTTCCATTCCCACCTCCTAGCTTCTGGTGGTTGCTGGCAGTCCTCGGTCTTCCTTGGCTTATCAATGTATAACTCCAATTTCTGCTTCCACCTTCACACGACTGTCTCTGAGTGTCTGTGCATCA